AGAAGGTGGTCTTTGGAAGAGGAGAACAGATACAGTAGAAGGTGGTCTTTGGAAGAGGAGAACAGATACAGTAGAAGGTGGTCTTTGGAAGAGGAGAACAGATACAGTAGAAGGTGGTCTTTGGAAAAGGAGAACAGATGCAGGAGAAGGTGGTCTTTGGAAGAGGAGAACAGATGCAGGAGAAGGTGGTATTTGGAAGAGAAGAACAGATGCAGTAGAGGGTAGTCTTTGGAAGAGGAGAACAGATACAGTAGAAGGTGGTCTTTGGAAGAGGAGAACAGATACAGTAGAAGGTGGTCTTTGGAAGAGGAGAACAGATGCAGGAGAAGGTGGTCTTTGGAAGAGGAGAACAGATGCAGGAGAAGGTGGTTTTTGGAAGAAGAGAAGAGATGCAGTAGAGGGTGGACATTGTAAGAGGAGAACAGATAGTAGAGGGTGGCCTTTGGGAAAGGAGAACAGATGCAGTAGAAGGTGGTCTTTGGATGAGGAGAACAAATGCAGGAGAAGGTAGTCTTTGAAAGAGGAGAACAGATGCAGCAGAGGGTAGCCTTTGGAAGAGGAGAACAGATGCAGTAGAATATAGTCTTTGGAAGAGGAGAACAGATGCAGGAGAAGGTGGTATTTGGAAGAGAAGAACAGATGCAGTAGAGGGTAGTCTTTGGAAGAGGAGAACAGATGCAGTAGAAGGTGGTCTTTGGAAGAGGAGAACAGATGCAGTAGAAGGTGGTCTTTGGAAGAGGAGAACAGATGCAGTAGAAGGTGGTCTTTGGAAGAGGAGAACAGATGCAGTAGAAGGTGGTCTTTGGAAGAGGAGAACAGATGCAGTAGAAGGTGGTCTTTGGAAGAGGAGAACAGATGCAGTAGAAGGTGGTCTTTGGAAGAGGAGAACAGATGCAGGAGAAGGTGGTTTTTGGAATAAGAAGAGAAGAGATGCAGTAGAGGGTGGACATTGTAATAGGAGAACAGATAGTAGAGGGTGGCCTTTGGAAAAGGAGAACAGATGCAGTAGTGTGTGTGGTCTTTGGAAGAGGAGAACAGGGAGACTAGGAGACTTTCATTGGAGAATCTGGGAGAGGAAAAATGCAGTAAAAGAAGGATTCTGTAAGAGGAGAACAGGTACAGTACAGGGGGACTTTAGAAGTAGAGAACAGGTGCAGTAGAGGGAAGATAGTTTTGATAGTTTTAACACATTTATTTACTCTTTTCTGGTCAAACAATGGTTTTAAGCATACAGATTTTCAAATGCACCAGAGAGCAAAAACATATTTGCATTGACTGTGGTACGATAAGTCTGTGATTTATTTATTGGTTAAATAATTGGATCAGATTAAAGTGTATATATTTGCTAAACTGATTGATGCCTTACACATCATGCATACCAATAGCTCATGTTTTTCCTTTTTTTGGGATGTAAAAAATGTTTTTATTTATGTTATAAGCATATAAAACATCAAGTTATACACTCAGAAATTTAACTAGCAGGTACATCAGCACATATCATATCCATCAGACCTAAAAGTAATCATGTCATCTGAAGTCCCATTGACATTCCGTCAAGTAGCAGGTATTCGCTGGTACAGCAAGGTTGATGATAGTATATGCATAGTAAACTATAATATATAGTCAATAATAGGCATAAAGAACAATAAAACAAAAATAAAACAGGACAAATGAAAATATTCAAACTGAAACCAGGATCCAGGAGTAGCAATATTGACAGTATTTGGATGTATGTAAAGCAAATATGTTGCGCTAGGTCTATGTGAACCAACTGCACACTAAAGTGTTAATAAACAAATCTGTGTGTAAAAATTACAACAATCCGTGTGAAAAAATTGATGCAAGAGGATTATTTACATATGACTAGAAGGTTCAACACACAAACATAATAAGAATAATAAAAATCAACACTGGAACCTTCAGAATTAGTGCCAGTGATCAACCTCATTGGTTCAGCATGTATATTTTAAACACGTGAACCTCTGGCCAGCGGTGTAGTAAAACAACACAGAAAACTAAAATTTAAATCGTGATATTAATTCAAGCTGTGAACAAACTTTGAAAAGGAAGGAGGGGCTCTGTGGTGGCCCTCCAATACTTAAAAAAAAACAAACAAAAAAAACGTGCAAATAAATCAAAAATCTAAAATAATAACAGCAAAGAAACTGACATTTTAAGGGGCGTGTATCATTACTCCACTTGGTCTCGTTTCTAGAGATCTCTCTCTTCATATGGTTTTTGTATTTGGATGTAACTTTAATCCAGTTGATAATTACCAGTTTTGAATGTAGCGCACCGATTTTGTTTTAATTTTTCCTAACTGAGCCCCACTCTGTAATTTAAATTGTTCCTACATCTAAGTAGACAGACGGCCACAGTGAAGTTATATCTGGATTCAATCAGGCAGATTAGTAGTAAAACAGGCTTTAAAGATCACAGTAAATTCTTTCTTGTACAAATACAAATTATTACTGATGATCTGAGTGTTTTTAACTTTAAGATGATTCATGCAAGGATGGAGTTTGGCAGAGCAACCTATAGCACTTGTGTCCCCGAATTAGATTCCTTTAATTTCTCTATCCAGCTCCATAGATATAATAACAAGAGCTTTGTAAAGTGGTAGATGT